TTTTAGTTTACATTGCATGCGGAGGAGTTGCCAGACTTTCCTCAACACTTCCCCCCGGTATGCTATCGTCACGATTGCCTACCAAATCCAAAACTGCAATCTTCGTCGCTGGCCTCTCATATGTTCCGGCAGCTGTTTTTATTACAGCACTTCGTACTTGTCCATCCGTTGACTGTCTCACTGCACATACTCTCCCGCGTGGCCAGCAGTTCCGAGGGCTCTCAGAGTCCACGATATATACAACATCTCCAATTTGAATAGGCCTCACATCAGAAAACCATTTGCATCTTCTAGTTATTATCGGGAGATATTCACGTACCCATCGTTTCCAAAACGAATTTGCGATTTGTTGCGCTGTTTGCCAACTGCGACGTAATGATACGCCATCGTTGCCTTCTTGTGTCAAAGGTTTGGCGCCAGATGAATTGCCTAGTATAAAATGATTCGGCGTTAAAGCTTCCTCAACATCCGAGTCCACCGGGATGTAGGTAAGGGGCCGAGAGTTGACGCACATCTCCACTTCAAGCAGCGCTGCACGCAATACCTCTTCTGAAGGTGTACAAGAAGGCAGAATTTGATACAACACATGCTTTACGGAGCGTACTAGTCGCTCCCATACCCCTCCCATGTGTGGTGAAGAGGGAGGAATAAACTTCCAAATAGTAGCTGCGGTTGTAAAAGTTGCGATTATTTTGTCTTGGTCTGCTGCTTTTAGGGCCGCTTTCAGTTCTCGTTCAGCGCCCCTGAAGTTCGTCCCATTATCGCTCCACATTTCAATAGGGACACCACGACGAGCTGTAAAGTTTCGTACGGCGATGATGCAGGAATCCGTTGAAAGAGAAGACACCAGCTCCAGGTGTACAGCGCGTATCGTAAGGCAGGTGAACAATACACCGTAGCGTTTCTCACGGCTTCTTCGCACTGCCACCATCATCGGACCAAAATAATCGACACCCACATAAGAAAAGGGGCGGCAGTAGGCAGCAAGTCTAGCGTCAGGCAGTGGGCTCATCCTGGGTGCTTGGGCGTGAACAGAGCGGTTTCGGCAGAGTTGGCATGCTCGTCTAACTTTGTTTACCACTACACGAAGGCTTGGTATCCAATATGTTTGGCGTAACTCATTTACAACTGTCTCCGAATTGCTGTGGTGGTAACGCAAATGATATTCATTTACAATAAGATACGTGACGCAGTGGTTTTTAGGCAAAATTATGGGGTCTCCGTAGTAGGCACATCTGACTCGCCCACCCAAGCGAATCAGTCCAGCGCCATCCATAACAGGGGTGAGGCTGAAAATTGAACTTGATTTTTTAATTACCTTTCCTTCTTTCAAAGCCGCTACTTCATCAGCAAAGTTTTGCTGCTGTACAATGGAAATAATCAATATTTCGGCTCGTTTTAAATCCTCACTGCTTATGGGCGATGGTTTTTGTTTATGGTATTTAACAACGGATATCCAGTAATTACCAATGCTGATCACGGTTGCGATGACACGGCGTAGTTTACTATATCGTGAAAATCGGCTGAAGTCAATGTGAAGTTGAGCAACGGACCGTGAGGCGAAATGGTGTCCTACATACTGCGAACGCAGTTCTTCGTTTGTTGAGCGGTTCGTTTCACGTTCAAAAGGCCAACTAGATTTGTTTTCTTGTAAAAATGCTGGTCCATTCAGCCAGCGGCTATGATTGGATAAGTCAGGAGATTTGGACCACTTCGTTGCATCGTCGGCCACATTTTCGGCGGTAGGTACCCATCTCCATAGGGCGACATCAGTGAGCTCAAGAATCTCACTTATGCGAAAGGCGACAAATTGGCGATAACGTCGCTGATCCGACCGCAGCCAGGACAGCACTGTTCGCGAATCAGTCCAAAACGTTTGAGAGGCAATGGGAATTGTTAGCGATTTAACAATGCCAACTGCCAAGCGTGCACCAATTAAAGCGGCTTGTAATTCGAGACGAGGGATGGACATTGGCTTTAGCGGAGAGACACGAGTTTTGCTGCCAACAATAGCGCATTGATTGCTCGATCCGCCAGTGAAGAGGAGGTAGCTAACTGCTGCGTAGCTATTCTCACTTGCATCCACAAATGTATGCAGTTCAACGATTCTATTTAAAGACCCTGAAGCTGAACTGTAGTACCTAGGAATTTGAATGTTTTCCACCTCTGGTAACATTCGCACCCAGCGCAACCACTTTGTGTACTGCTCGTCGTGTATTGGATCGTCCCATGAGCAACCGGTTCGCCATATTTCCTGCAGGATGATCTTGGCGTATATGACGTAGTGGGCAATCAAACCAAGAGGGTCGAAAATAGCCATAACCACGCTGAGCATTTCGCGTTTAGTTGGTTTTCTTTCTCCGGAAATGAAATCACGATTTCTGAGTTTTTGCGATACGGCGAATGTAAAACAATCTTCGTTTGTATGCCAAAACATTCCTAATACTTTCTCTACTCCTAAACCATGTGCGCCGTCGAATTTCAGCGATGTTGTGGGAGTGGCACCTAACTCCTGCAGTACGGCGTCAGAGTTTGACACCCAGTTTCGGATCTCGAAACCCGCGTGAGAATGAATGCGATGAACATCACGTGCAAGCTGTAGTGCTTCTGCTTCAGTGTCAACAGAGTCAAGCATATCATCTACATAGTGGTTGTCGATTATGCTTTTCACGGCCCTAGGATATTCACTTTCAAAGCCCTTTGCGTTTTTATTTTTAACGAACTGTGCACAGCTGGGCGAGCAACTAGCGCCAAATGTCATAACTTGTAGTATGTAAATATCGGGTATGGTGGCGCCTTCTTCAAACCAAAGAAATCGCTGAAAATGTTGGTCGCGTTCTCGCATACGCACTTGGTGGAACATTTCAGCAATATCGCCACCAATAGCGATAGGTTTTTGCCGAAATCTGCGTAATATCGAAACAAGTGAACTCAGCTGGTCAGGCCCTTTGAGAAGCATAGAATTTAACGAAACGGTTTTAACTTGCGCGGCCGCATCCCATACTAGCCTTATTTTGCCGGGCTTATTAGGATTCTTCACTGCAAAAATGGGAAGGTACCAACAGCAATCCATTTCCTTTTCGTCCTGTCGCAACTTTCTTGCGTATCCCTTTCTCACATAGTGTTTTATTTTCTCTTGAAGTGAGTCTGCAAGCTCGGGGTCCTTTGACATTTTTCGACGCAGACAGCTGGCTCTTCGTAAAGCTGATGGGTAGCTGTCAGGCAGCGAAGGTCTTTCACCGCGCCATAGCAAGCTTGTTTCAAAACGATCGCCACGTCGCACGGTGTACTGCTCAAGTTGACTAACAGCAAGTTGGTCCTCATCGCTGAGAACTTTAGGAGCTGCGGCAACGTCAACGTTGTCCAACAAAATGAAATCCTTTACTGTCTTTAACAGCTCTTCGTTATATGTAGCGTTGCACTCACAAACGTGAAACACACGTTGAAATGATCTCGATTTACTTTGAACACGGTCTGTTATTGTGCCTTTAAGTGTCCACCCAAGGCGGGTTTTCTCAGCAATTGGATCAGAGCTAAATCCCTCTTTAGACTTTAAACAGGACCCAAGTCTACTATTATCAATGCCAATTAAAAGCCTAGGCACGGCTCGGCTATATGACGACAATGGCACCCCTCTTAAATGTTTATATGCTGCTTTCAACTTTGCTACGTCAAGCGTCTGCGGAGGCAACTGCAATTTTTTTACAGTATGAACGTTTTTCAAATCAAACCGCTTGACGCGGCCAATTGGTGATATTTCAAGATTCACTCGAACCGATTCATCTTCATTACGATGAGTATCCCCTGTCCACTTTAGGCAAAGGGGTTGTGGAACACCTTCCACGTTAAGCGCCCTTTGAAGTTCTTCATCCATTAGTGTCAGCGAAGATCCATCGTCAAAAAAGGCGTACGTATCAATTTGTACTCCATTGCCGTATATAGTGACGGGTAGAATCCGAAATATGGCGACATTGGTTTCTTCGGTATGTGCGTTGCATGTTGCATCAACGGCCGCTGGTTGCGGCTGTGGAACTGTGGATGTTTTATTTTGCTTCGAAATATAAATTTTGTGCAGCAGCGGATGGTGAGCGCAGCGGCAATTGTTTATTCCACATGTATTTTTTGATGTAGATTGCTCAAAGGAATGAGGCTTAAGGCAACGCTTGCATAAAGAATAATCCCTAACGATCATCCACTTGTCTGAACGGCTAAGATGTTTGAATTTGGTGCACACATTAATTGCTTCACAAGTAGAACCACAAACCAAGCAATGAGCTGCAGTACCATGTTCACAATCTAAATGTGTATGTAAAGAGCCACGCTTGCGTTGTTTTGTGGCAGTACTAGGTATAATGACAGCATTCGCCCCTTCAGCCAATTTAAAGAGCCAATTGCTGAAATCCTCTAGATTACAGGTCGAGGAGGATAGTTTTTGCATACCCCAAAAGGCGGGCAGCAATCCCGGCAACTTACAAACCAACTCCTGCTCCAACTCAGGATTATTGAGGTGATTGGTCAATGACGATGCCTTCATCGTGGCGCAAATATTTTGCACTTCGATAGCAAAATCAACAATTGATTCCAGCTTGCTTTCTTTGGGAGGTGGTAAATCCCGAATCTGGGCTAGCAAAACGTCTATAATTAATTCGGGTCGACCGAATTTCATTTGCAAAGTGGAAATTATTTGTGGTACGCATGAAGCGTGCAATATTAAATTTTTCACCGCATTGCGTGCAGGACCTTCTACTGCCTGTCGCAGTCTTAGCAGATTCTCAGCATCGGAGAATCCACATAGTTGCGTTGATTGGTCATATGATGCCTTGAAGAGTGGCCACTCTTCAGGCTTACCGGTAAACTTTGGAAGTTCCTTGCACAAACCTTTGCGAGATGCTATTTGTTCGTTTGTAAGTCTTACAGTTGTATAAGTGCCATTTTCGACAGTGTTGTCTGCACGAGGCAGAAAAGAAAAACCAGCAAATTGTGACATTGGACCATGCGACTGATTGTCCACCCTAACAGCACTATCAGCTGCACCAAATATAGGTGGACGATTATGTGTTCTACTGGGGCCGGGTGCGTTACCTGTTACCTGGGCCTCAGCATTGTTCTCTAACATCCCTTCTTTCTCTAATTCTACTAGCAGCTGTTGTCGTTTCTGTACTAGGCGCAACTCCTCTTCAAGAAGTTGCAATCGTTGTTGTAAGTAGCGCCCGCGTGCTGTAGGGGCTTCAGCAGCCACAGAAGTCGGATGCATAGACTGTGAACTAATTCTTTGCAGAGGTACGCTAGAAACTTCGGCAGTTGCACCACCATGCTCGTGGGCCAATGCCGACTGAATATCGCCTAATGTTGTGGCGACCACATGTGTTGCGTTTTTGAGGTTATGAGTTACTATGGGCTGACTGGCATTTTCAGTGGGCCCAATACATGTATGATTCGTTGTAATCGCTACATGTGTTGATGCGCTTGCATCTATAGGAGCGAATTGCGATACGTCTACGCCACTTTCAGCAAGCTCATAGCAATCCTGGCAGCGCCATAAGCGTTGATCGGTTTCTGTGGGTACGCCGACGCAATGTTGGTGGAACAATGAAGTGCATACGGAGCACTTAATCATTCTATCGTCGTCTTCATCATTGCACATGAGGCAGCTGCGCCGGATTTTAGAGGCGCTTTGAGTGTTTTTACCATCCGCCATTGTACGTCTTTCAGTTCCCTCGACGATAGCGAGTAAAGAATTTTTGAAGATGTTACGGAGGAACCGTAATTTTAGGCAACCACTCTCAATAAAACAC